GAGTGAGTCTGCAGAGTCATAGGTGAGCTGGTGTGTTCGAGCTGCAGAGCGCAGCAGATCGGTGGGTGGAAGGCCAGGCAGGAGCTTCCTCCATCTGCATGCTCTACAGGAGGCAGCGGTGGAGTCACATCGAGGCCATTTTAAGGCAGGAAGGGATTATTTACATGAAAACTTCTGAATGTGTAGCTTTGACACACAGAGATGAGTTTTTAGGAGGATAGTCGGTCACCAGAGGGGGACTTCAAACGGTAAAAGTGCACTTAGAAGGCATTCAGAAAGTGTGCTTTGTATTTAAATTACCATTAAGTCTTTTTTATTTTTGTACCATTTCCCCCAAAAGCAGAATCTCTCTTTTGTGCTTATTTAAAGTTCTAAGTTTTTGAGCCAATCACTCATTGCTGGAATGCAATCTGCAGGACTCAGATCATCAGAGAAAGCAGATGTAGGAGCATCTGTAAAGCAATGGAAACACATGACAGAACCTATTAGCAGCACATAAAAGCAGAAAAGAACCGGGACCGGGCCTGAACTCCTGGGAAATGTTTAGTCTGACTCGACAGAATTCCCCAAAGGAGTCGTCTCAGGCTGCTTGTAAGTTCATCTACAACACTGCACCAGGGTCCAGCCAGACCATCTAAGTCTTCCGTCTAACCTTCATATTGCTCCTAATGTCCATCATGTCCCAGTGATCCACTGAGTTCTGGACCTGTTAAAATGCACCGACTGCTTTTTGCTTTGCTTCAGTCAGAAGCATCCAGTGAGTGCATCTTTACTTTGTTCTGGTTTTGTCCTGTAGTGGTACTGATCCGGCCTCTAGGCTCAGCTGGATGTGACAAAAACCAGCTGGACTTGGTTGAGGTAAAGCAGGTTATTGCTCAGTAACGTAACTGAACACTAAAGCTCTGATCCAATACAAACAAAGCGGGCTAATGGGTGCTGCTGAATCAAAGAACCAAATAAAACCAAACAAAGGCTAACAGAGTAAACTGTCTGAACAGAGAGAGCTAAACTAGTCAGACCTAATGACTGTAACACCCACAACCAACAAAAGAAACTCAGACAAACAAGTGCCTCAAAACACACAGACATGAGGAACTCCTAAACCGAGCTACTAACTGGACTTTTATCTTCACCAGGACTCTGCTGACTCCCACACTAAGCCAGCAGCTTCCAGCAGAACGTACAATTAAACAAACAGCACACAAAGACAAAGACACGGGAAGCACCAGGACCAACAGGTCACTTTAAACCCCAGCCGTCCTCACTGACAGGTTGGTGGTTGATTTATGCTCCAGGTGTGTTGATTGCTGCAGTTGGATTGGCTGAGGGTGGAGGGAACCGACTGGTGGTCCAATCAGGAACGGCAGGATGGGAGAACAGGGGCTGGAGTGCAGGTCTGGAGCTAAAGGCTAATCAGCTGTGATGGCTGGTGGCTGGGCCTGGAGCAGGCTCTCCAGAGTCCACCAGAGATCCACCACCACAAACCCAAACACAAGGGACGTAACACACTTCCTAACAGGTTTTTCAGGTGAGAAGGTAATCATTTAGATTTAATGTCCCTGATGGTGAAAATCCATTTTTATTGTTTTGTTGCTGCTATAAACCTGGAGGTGTAAACTAGCCTCCCAGCGCTCCAACAGTTTGACCCGAGGGCTTCGTACCACCATGAACCAGTCACCATCCAGCTCAGTGTCTGTAGAACTCCACCACGGTGCTGCTTCCAGGTGATCCATTCAGAACAAGCAGCTCCATCACAGTCCAGCAGGTTTCTCTACTATCTACAGCTGCTTCTGCTAACTCTGAAATACCTCAGGTACAAGGAAAGCTCACTGAATGTTCTGCTGGTGGTCGCAGGAGTGAACACAAGAGTCTTCATGCAGTCTCAGCATCTGAGGAACTCCCCATCTACTGTTTTATGGTTGTTTCATGCTAATATCCCAACAAGAATAGTAAAATCCTTAGCCTTAGCTAGTTGTGTGGGTAATGAGGCTAATGCTATCATTAGCTGATTAGCTCACAGGTCAAATGTAATCCCGAGAAACAGAATCAATCTAACTCATCTACTCTAACGTGATGTTTTCGCAGGTATAAACCAACCAGGTGAGACCAGACAGTCATCAGAGCATCCAGCAGCCTGGCATCTGGGAATCTTTTCTGTGCAGACACACATGTTGCTTGTATTTTCCTTATTTGTCCATGTTTTCGTATTCGCAGACCTGGAACTCGTTTCTTAGTGTTTGTGCTTTCACTTGTTCATGTGCTTCCTCCGTCGGGGTAAATATGGGACCTCTAAAAACAGCTGAACATCTCCAACACAGCAAATATAATCCAAGTATGTTCCGGGTTCCTTGACTCAAATAGCACGATGCCACCAAACTTAGCTGGGATGGGGTGTGACATTTACTTTCTCTTATCCGAGGTGTTTTGTAAATGATACACACTGTTCACTTGTGTAACCTTCTGTGTGTCCACGTCTACGTCCTGTCAGCTTGTTGCACCATGAAAAGTGATTAGTGGATGTGGGTAAACAGCAGCAGTGGAGGGCAGCGGGGTGACCATCTGAGAGGCCGTCCTTTTCCACAGCGCCGGCTTCTCCCTGGTTCCCACTACACTTAGCATTCCCAAACAACTAACTCACCACCGAGCCTGCGTCAGTGCGCCCTGACTCACAATGGTGCTGCACACGCACACACACACACACACACACACACACACACACACACACAGATGCAGGCACTAATGGCATCCCGGTTACATAAACTTACATGGGACCTTATTCCAAGGCCAGTTCTTCGTGATCTGGTGACCCGCAGCAACGTTTCCTCTTTCCAACACAGCACCAAGCATCCAGGAAGTCTGCATCCAGCTTGGAACAACACCGCGCCAAGGCCTGTGGGGTGTTTTCACATGGTTATAAATGGGTTGTCAGAGTGTCTGCACATCTCTTACGACTCAGGGTAAAGTCAACAGCTCTGGCGGTCATTCATTAATCTGCGATGCCTTGGGCTGACATCGGTAAGCGGGCCAGACCGCCTGTAACCTCTCACAATCAGTGGTACCACAGGGACCGCCGGAGAGAGAGAAACCCGTCTGCTCCGACGCTCCTCGGTCTGCTGCTCTTCCTTTTCTCTCGCAATTTCTTCTTCTTCTTTTTTTTAAATCAACATTTGTTACAACATCAGTCTCTGTTGGTCAGTACCGCCATCCGTCACGGGCTCAACTTCTGGCCCGTCTGAAGCTTTTCCGGCTCTTCTGATCCAGCAAAAACAGAAAAAACACAAGTGATGGACACTTTGAAAAAACAGAGCAGTCATCAGCAAAGAGAAAAGAAGAAAAGAAAAGAAAGCACCGCCCCGTTTGACCACATTTAATAACTGCGATACTTTAGAGGACGTTTCCCAGCAGGTCAGACATGGACAGTCGCCTCGCTGTCGCCTGACCACGAATCAACACGACCAGCTGGGACTGTAGAAAGAGATCCCCTACTCCTCTCTAAAACATGTGCATGAGGTTCTGTCTTTTATATTCTTACGCTTTAACTAAACAGTAAAAATCATCCTAAGGTCCATCAGCAGCTGTTCTTCTGCAGCTAAATCAGAAAGCGAACCGTCACAGCAGCGTGGCATCAAATAGATGTTTAAATGTTGATGTTTCTGGAAACTTCTGGTTCATGTTTGCTCAAAAGTTGAGACTAAAAGTTCATCCTTGACTTCACCAGGTGTCAGAATTGTGTTGTCTTTGTGTTTTATTGTTTTGAATACCAGAGCAGCTGAGCGGGCCAGAGGGTTCTGGCACCGTCTAGTTCCTGGAACACCACCTCGGTTTGCTTTTTTCATACAGGATGGAAATAAAGTTGCCGTTCAAAGGTCTGCAGCGATAAAGCAAGAAGTCTTTCACAGTAGAGATGAGAGTCTCCTCCTTCTTCTGGTCAGACTCTCAGATTATCTTACTTTCCATGAGACTTCTCAAACTTTACCGGATTCTCCATTAACGTGCTCATCATGGTGTCCAAAGCAGCACTGACATGAAGAAGTCATCCTGATGTACCACACAGCAGCTGCTGGTGAAGTTAATTTTCCTCCACTTGTGAAGCTGCTTCATGTTTTTAGACGGTCAAGTCGTAAAAAGTCACCGAGTTCATGAGCTGATCCTGGAGCAAAGCGATCAGAACTGAAAAGAGTTTTAAAAACGGCTGCAGAGTGAAGATCGGCCTCATCTCTGTGGTCCTGCTGCAGTTTAGCTCAAAACTGAGCATTTCTAAAAATGTTAGAGCACGACAGCAGCTTTCTGCTTCTTCTTCATCGCTCTCTGAGCCTCTGTCTCATTTTTTTGGTTTCCCCATGGCACTGGGATTAAGAAAAAGTAAAGAAATATACAGAAAAATGGGGAAGAGAACATGAATATAAGATAACATCTGCTGTTTCTGCATCCAGCCTGTGGTCCTTCAAACATGCAGTCACACATGTGGGATCTGACATACAGACACAGTGCAGAGTGGTTGGTGGGACCAGGATCACCTTGAGAAGCTGCTCAAGATGAGACAACTACTGTGTTCTCCTGCTTCATGCATCCACCACTGTTCTTATTCTACTGCAATGAAGGAAGCATCCCTCCTGCAGGACATCAACCACGACCCGTCCTGCTCCCTCCGTCTTACTGTATGTGCAATCCCACATGACACCCACATATGCAGAACAATATCCCAGAAACTTTTACTCATTTATTCTGAATAACACCAAAGAAAGTGCATAAAAGGAAGCGAAAAAGTGCAACTCTTCCCTTCCCATCCATCCTGGTTGGCTCCAATGGGAGAGGTCTGACCTATCTCACACTCAGCAGGACCAAAGGGACCAAGTGAGCCTTGATATGAGCATAAAAAACAATGACTCATCAGATCACTGATATAAAATGGATTCCGACTTCTTGACCTGTCAGCGGAAGAGACGAATCCCACAGAAGGGGCGAATAAACAGACGCCGTGAGTCAAATAGCGTCCTGTGGATGGAATGACATAATGTGGAGTTGACGGTAAACACTGAGCAGACAGACCGGGCTGCTGTGAGCAAGATTCTTATTATTTTCATCTGACAAGATATCGAGAGATCTGACTGAAAAACACGATGTTGGGAAACAGCAGACAGGATCAAAAGATTAGGTGTGTGAGGCCATTTGGAGATGATGCAACTTAATGGAGGCACACGAGGCCCTTGGGGCAAAAACTGCAACATGTGTTTGGGCAGGTAAGTGCTGCAATTTCATGACACATTGGAACAAGCAGATTGGGTGTTCTTCCCTGTGACACTCAGCAACAACAAAACCCTTTGACCTACACCTGGAAAGTCAACCAAATCCCTCAAACCCTCCCTGCTGCTTGTTTGGAAAGGCAGAAGGAGCGTGTTCACTCCAAAGTGACACATCTGTACAGCGTTTTGTCGTGTGAGGCCAGGACACGCGTGGCTCTGACCTCTACGTCTGACTCATAATTAAACGGAGAGGTGAAGGAAGATCCGCCCCGCCGGCCGCCGGCTGGGAGGGTGAGAGCGGGACAGCCAGAGCTGGAGAGTCACAGTGCGCAGAGGACGCCCAGAAGTTCAGGACAAAGTTTTCTGTGGATACTTGGAGGATAACACTTCATAAACGATACGATACCTACGTCTGACTTGTACATCGCAGAGACTCCGTTTTGTTTGGCACCAGTGCGTCTTTACGCAGGAGAGAAAACCATCGTCCAGATACTGCAGGTCTCTCCACATCGTCGGGATGTTCAGATGAGTCCAAACGCTCCAAAAGGTACGATAACCTGCTGTTACACACAGAATAAAACACTAAAGCTTTATTATGGAACTTTACTTTGCTCCATCAGTTTCCAAAACGTGCGTCACACAGCTTTGGAAAACTTTGGAAAGTTCCTCTCAGGATTCGGCATCTAGTGTCACCTAAAATGTTCTAAAAGTCGACAAAAGATCGTTTTTTCGTTTGATTAAAGAGAACAACCTGTGTGTGGGAACATGTTCACAGTGTTTGTGATGTTTGGATGCATAATTGAGCCTAATTTAGTGTTTTTTTTAGTTTTTTTTTAAAGGTTTAGGTTCAGATGTTTAACTATGAGCTGTGGTCCTTCCACTAGGAATCAAATTCAGTCTGAAATTCGGACATTTAGGTGGATATGATCACTTTTTCAAGTATAAAGGGAGTTAAAACCAGAAAATCAGGATAGTAATGTTTTAAAGTTCTTGTTTCTATCTGAGTATGTTTTATGTTGTATTATATGTCATTTACCTGTTTGATTGCATTGCTGTATTTGTCAGGACACTTGTGTAAAAGACATTTTTAATGCCAGTGAGTGTTAATTGTTTAATCCCTGTTCAATTAAAAGATATTAAAGAGGTAAATTCCAACTCTTTGCTTTTACTGGTTTCAGTTCTTAAAGTCCTCCTAAAGAACCTTTTTTTTCTACACAAGTTAACCAAAATGAACCTTAATGTTGTCTTTATGTTTTTTTTGTGTTTCTTCTCTGAACTGGACTCAGGCTGAGATGCCAGCCGTGTTCCTGCCAGGTTGAGCAGCTCTGCCTCCCCCTGCTGTGTCCAGTGCTGTGGCGCCCTCTGCTGTGTGACCGACGAAGGTCAGTGAGGCGCAGGCACCATGGGGAACATGATCGAGGAGGGGATGAACACCGTCATCGTCAGCCACTACAACCACTCGGGCAAGTGGGACCGGCCTCGCACCGGCGGGGCCTGCAAGATGGTGGTGCTGCTCCTCATCTGCGTCCTGATCGTCCTGGAGAACGTCACGGTTCTGCTCGCTCTCTGGAGGAACAAGCGCTTCCACAGTCGCATGTACTTCCTCATTGGAAACCTGGCCCTGTCAGACCTGCTGGCCGGCGTGGCCTACGTGGTGAACATCTTCACCTCGGGACGGAACACCTTCTTCCTGACACCGGTGCAGTGGCTGGCCAGGGAGGGAAGCATGTTCGTGGCCCTCAGCGCCTCCACCTTCAGCCTCCTGGCCATCGGGATCGAGAGGCACATGACGATGGTGCGTCTGCGGCCCTGTGAGACAGCAGGCAGAGGCAGACTGCTGGCGCTGCTGGCGGCCTGCTGGCTGGTGTCAGTGCTGCTCAGCGCCCTGCCGAGCCTCGGCTGGAACTGCCTGAACAATCTGGCCTCCTGCTCCACGGTGCTGCCGCTCTACGCTAAGAGTTACGTTGCCTTCTGCATCAGCGTGTTCAGCGCCCTGCTGGTGGCCATCATCATCCTCTACATCAGGATCTACCGCCTGGTGACCTCCAGCGGCCGCCGGGTGAGCAGCCGGCCTTCGGAGCGCTCGCTGGCCCTGCTGCGGACTGTGGTTATTGTTCTTGGATTGTTTGTCATGTGCTGGGCCCCGCTGTTCCTCCTGCTCCTGCTGGATGTCGGCTGCAGCCCGGATAAGTGCCCTGTGCTCTACCAGGTGGACTGGTTCATCGCCCTGGCCGTGCTCAACTCTGCCCTCAACCCTCTGATCTACACTCTGTCCAGCAGGGAGATGCGAGCCGCCTTCTTCCGGCTGCTGTGCTGCTGTCAGACCAGCATGGAGCCCACTGGGACCCCCGTGGTCGGAAACCCTCACCTCGGCACCATCATCCCCACAGCGGAAAACAGCAAGACCAGCCTGGGCGGAGGGGGAGGCAGCGGGGCGGGCAAGTCCACGCTGAGCAGAGGGAAAGTTCCCACACCTGTGAACCCTGACAGCAAGCATGGAGACCCGTCTGCCACCGCTGTGACCCACCCCTCTGGGCCTGCAGACCTGCTCTCGGCTGTGCTCGTGAAGGCAGGAGCTCTGCAGCCCCTCAGCAAGTTCTGAGTGGAAGCACCTGAACGTGGCCTTAGAGTCACACGGATCAGTCCGACTATCAGCCACTCTGTGCCCTACAGCTCGTGGAGCTGGATCAGTGACACGTTGATAAAATTACTCAGAAGTTCAGATGGAAGCAAATGAATCCAGACTGAAGATGAATGCAGATCATTTAAAGCCACTATTTACAGCAATAACTTTATTTCCAACACGAGAGAGAGACTGAATGTGTTTGTGTCCCACCAGGATAGACGTCAGCATTTAAAACTATGAAATACGACAGGACGAGTTCATGGATGGGTTCAGTCAACGTCTGAGAAACTACACTGTAAAAAATAATGTTTGGGAGCAAAACAAATAGTTTGCATCAATCAAACAACTTCTAATGAAACTAAGTTGAACCACGAGATCACAGTGAGTTGGGAAACGAGCCTTTTCTCTACACTCAGAGGTATTTCTAATTAGCAGACTCAACTGTCTGAAATGATCCCGACAGAAAAATTAAGTTTCATTAAGTTACCTCAACCTGAATTTAGTTGTAAATCAACTGAATCTGAGTTTAAATGACGCACAACATGATCCCATCAAAACAGTGTTTTAACTTCAAAGGTTTGTCTAAATCAATAAATTGGATTTTTATCTTTAATCCTGTAGAACGCTGTGGGGGTGAAGGTGTAGTCAGACGACGTGACGTTATCAGTGTTGTGTCTGTAAATACGTTCATTTCTTTATTTTGTCATTTTAGGCAGAAACGATCAAATTGTGGCACTTTTTCTTTTGCATGTGCGATACGCAGGACTTTGTTTTAAACGCCTGCATTTTCCACCACGACCTGATCTGGTAGACGATTTATTTTCTGTGAAAACATTTGCCACCTTATGACTGTAAACTGGTATATTTTTTTGCTTTGTGTGCATAAAAACCATCACGGTACTAGGACCTTTATTAGTGACTGTATTACTGATTATTTGGATTGCACTGTGAGAGAAAAAACAAGACTGAAAGTTTATTGTAAGACTAGCGGCCTCCAGAGGCTGTGATGCTCATGACACACCAGAGGACGGCGGTTAGATCAAAGCTACACTGCATCAGTAGATTCTTACCACTAGCGGGCAAGAATGTAAAGTTTGTCCTGCTGGTGGAGCTGCAGATAGAACTGATTGGCCTTCGGGTCCTTTCTTTTGGACTCTGGGCTCTTCGTTACCACTCCTGGTTCATGTTTCATCAGTCTGAGCTCTACCTTGTCAGCTGCACTGTGAGCTGAACCTGCATGGCTAATAACTCCACTCATGAAGATATTTGCTTCTCATCAGCACATCTAGAAACCACTCACACGTCAGCTAACCACTAGTGAATACGAGTGTTGGATGTGAATTATTTAATGGCGGTAGACTGTAATTGACGTTTCTGCCGGGGGTGATGTAGGACCTGATACCATTATATCGCTAATAAAACTCTATTCCCGTTCATCAGGATCTCACATGTGTGATTTTGTTACCTTGAAACTCTGCTGCTGCCTTTATTCTCTGTATAAATGGTCACAGAGCGTTTAGCCGTGAACACAAGTTTACATTCGTTTATAAAGACCGTGAGCGTTGTTTCCACTGACTTCTATGACTCTGAGTTTTCTGTGATGGAATCATTTAAACTCATGAATGTCTGCATTTTGGTTCTTCCATTGATTTATTTGAGGTGTTCTGGAAACATGACAACATGTGCTGGGTCACACATACACAGACAGTGATTCTGATGTCTGGTTCAATGTTTCACTTCACTTCTGGTGTCCACGAGGTTCTTGTTGTATCTCTGACCCTCCTCCTGGTGAAACTGGTGCCGTTCAGCTCCATTTGTTTGCTTTCTGACACAGATCTGTTTGTTCATCACAGGCCACAGACTTTCGATGAGGTTTGGGTCAGAACTTTGGGGAGACCAGTCTAGAACCTTTCTTCCAGCCGGACTAAATCATTTCTTTTCCACTTTTGATGTTGGTTTGTGCTCATTGTCTTGTTGGAACAACCAGCTGTTTCCAGGAAACAACCTGTTGGCTGATGATCTTAAGTTTTCCTGAAACATGTGAAGGTAAACGTCCTTCTTCGTGAGTCCGTTTGCTTTGTGTAAAGCACCAGGTCCACTGGATGCAGAACATGATGCTGCCACCTCCATGCCTGACAGTAGGGTGGGTGTTCCTGAGGTTAGAGGCCTCATCGTCTCTCCTCCAAACATAGTTCTGCTCATTGTGGCCAAATAGCTCAGTGTTTGTTTCATCTTCCATCCAGAAGCTCTTTTCTTTGTCCGTGTGATCAGCAGTGTTGTAGGAGTCATTAGAAACCCAGGACTACTGTGGTCCACGTGGTCTTTATGAGTGAATGCAAACTGTTGTTACGGCTGCACATGAGCCACAGACATGAAACATGCAGACGCTGTTCTTTGTCTGCAGCTTTCCACCACATGAACAGTTGATGTTTGCATCTATGAATCAGCTGAAATCAAGGCTGAAATGGAAGCTTAAGCATTATACGCACACATTAAAGTAGAAATATTCATCTGTTCATGCAGGAGAAACGTCATGTGATTTAACCTGCTGCACTCATTTAATATCCTCACAGGAAGCTGATTGATGCTCTCTGATTCCCATTCATAGGCAGGCACGAGACAGACGCTGATGAATAATGCAAAGAAATCCTTGATATTTATTTTAACTGGTTTCCAAGTCAGTGAGGTCTCAGAGCTATTAGTCATGAAAGGTGTACGGCGTGATTACACCGTGAAGGAAATGTGTCCCGTCATTAAAATCTCTGGAACTAAATTAAAGAATTGTTTGACCAGAAGAGCACCGTAAAGGCATCGTGAGAAGGCACAAAGGATGAATTCTGAGAAACCATTAGATGTTTTAAGTGATAGCAGATGTCAGGTTTGCTTTTCTAGCTGCTGATTGGTTTATGTTCCAAAAAGAAAAACCTGCTGCGCTGAAGCTTGGTTTAAACTGAACGGATGGACGAGCTGATCACAGGCAGTTTGTTCTTTAGACCACATGGCACAGCACAGAGCAGACAGAAGCTGACAGACTGGCATTTCATGCTCACCTCAGCTGAAGGATGTGTCGTTGCTCTGCACCTCCAGTTCTGATGGAAAAAGACAGCGAGGACGCAACACCAGCCGAGCATTTCCAGCCTAAAGGTCACTGGCTGTTCCCTGTCAGACGCTCTCTTTCCTGAATCAGCCAGACGATCCTGGCTGTGTGCCACATGGAGCATCAGAAAATACTGAAATACTGAGCTGTGTGGTGGGATCTGCAGTCAGGGAGTCGACGGCGTCCTGCTCCCTCGTCTTCTTCACCGCGACTCGCTGTCCTCATTCAAATCCTCAGCAGATTGTTTTCTGTTTGAAAACACGCCTGCAGAAAGAAAGATTAAAAACAGTTAATAAATGTGAAAGCAATACAAAATAACTGAAAACTGATTGTCAAAAATGTAGCTGAGGAGGTTCACTGATGTTTAAAACATTTGAAAAGGAAGGAATCCAAAGAGAACAGGGAGCTGCTGCAGCTTCAAGCCTTTACTTTAAATAATCATTTTAAGTCAAAGGCATCAGATGAAAATTGCTAATAAATACCGACTGATGTTCAACTTGATCAATCATTCAGGTTTGTACCTTGGACGTACATAATCCCCGGATCAGAGGTCTGGGGTCTCCGGATACAAACCTCTGAAGTGCAAATCATTTAAATCAAGAATCTTCTGGGAACTTTATCTCATGGAAAGGATTTAGTCAACAGTAAAAACACAAAACAAACAAAACGCTTTTACCTTCACCCTACCTGGTCAAGGCAGATGTCGGACCTCCTGAATGTGGTTCTGGAGATCTCATCCTGTCGCTTAGTGACCGCCTCCCAGAAGATCCTTGGATTCTGGAGGTTTTTTTCTCTGTAATGTGATATTTTAAGGTCATGACCTCACTATGTGAGCTGCCCTGACATGGATGATGCTGTGCCTTGGAACGATATAAATATAACTGAACTGATTTGAAAATCAAAACAATAAGTCCTGCAAAGATCTGCCAAAACAGAAAGATTCCACCTGAACAGGTGAAGTCGACAACAAGGCTTCATGTGTCACAAACACTAAAGTTTTTATCTGCTGGACATAGAAGATGAACTGATGTTGCTGAAGCAGGTAGTTTGAACATCACACAGTGAAGTCAGACATCTGCCGAATAACAAAATCCTTCTGCAGCTAAACATCTAAAAACTCATCTCTGTGTGTAAAACCCAAAGTGTTCCATGAACAGAACCTCTTCCTGTCTCATCTATAAAGTCTCTTTCTCCACCCACCTCTCCACATTCTGCAGCTGGAGCACACCAGCTCACCTACAGCTCTGGTCACAAACTGTACAGATCCTCCACTGCACCCTGGTAGGATGCAAGACTGACATCATTTAACTGTACTTGTCTGAATCGGATTTTGAAGGAGAATAATGATGCAGAACGCTCTGCAAGAAGACAGGTTTGGTTCTGAAGGTTTGTGAGGTATGAAGTTGTTGAGGTCTGAATCAGGGCACTGCAGCATCCAGGTGGGAATGTTCAGCATGTTGCTGACCGCTTGTTCTGCTCATGATGCGTCTTCTAGCATAAAAAAAACATCACATGGACATTTAACAAGGTACATAAAATAAAATACAATAAAATAAAATAAAATGTTCACCTTTTTCACCTTTATGAAAGTTTCTCTTCATTCAAACTTGACATGCAGAGAATATTTTCCTAAAAAAATAAAAAATAAATTCATCAGCAGATATAAAGCTGCTTTGCTCTGTGTGATTAAATAGAACTAAACCACAACAATGGCTGCATCCTTTTAGCATTTGCTCATCAAAACAGAAAGCAGAATATAAGTAACAGTGAACATTAGGATAAAAGACAAAATAAAACCATGTTCTCGTTTCTTCTTCCATTTCTGTGCAGATAAAGGAAGTGGCTCCAGCTCAGAGGCCTGACTCTGAGCACATGAAGAGAAGAAAATTAATACTTTCCTTTTCGCTCAAATCCTCGTTTTCATGTCCTCAAATCCGAGCTCTGACAGATTCAATTTCTCCAAACATGTGAAACAAACAGCACAAATGGCCCGTGTGCTAACTGGGTCAAATACCTTAATAAATCATGTTAACTAAATAGCCGTCACCGGTCCTCTTTGAGGGTTTAGACATGGTGGATTTGTGTCATTCTCCGTGCACAATGCCTATTTGCATATGACTAATGTGAACACGACAGAGGACAAGGGAATCACACCCTCCCGTCGGCGTGATCCTGGCTTTATACCGCTGTGTGTGCCGGGGAAGCGTGTGCGCGTGCACGTGTGCGCATTTGCATGTTCCACGTTTTTTTTTTGTTGTTGTACACAGACGTGTTTGCGCCGTGTGTGTTTGAGAGCAAGAACAAAGACTCCATCTGGTCCGAGCCGCTCAATGTGCCAGAATGAAACACTTCTGTCATTCTCAAGTCCCTTTTTGATGCGGCTCGGAGGTGGAGTGGGGCCAGGCCCAGAGCAGCCAGGGGGCCCATTGGAGGCGGCCGCTCACGCTGGGAGCCCCTCGGCCGAAGCCATCCCCTCCTCTCCAGCCCAGCTCCCATTCATCTGGTGTGTGACCGTTCTCCTCCCCGTGTCGCCTCACCTCACTGCTGTCTGGTTCAATACACTGTAATTATATGTGGAACACAAGAGAGAGGAGAAAAAGGCAAAGACCAAGGCAGACTTTGCTGATAAGCTCCTCGAGATCAGAGGGCTTTATCCAGGGAGCAGCTGGGAAGGAGCCGAGGGGAGCCGAGGCAAAGGTCACTTGGTAGGAGGATATGTGGAGGAGCTCGCTGAGATTTGGATTGGTAGCCGCTCCTCCCAGCGTTCCCCTCAACACCCCGCTGCCTTTAATTCCTCTGTCTGGAGCAGATCAAGTAGACAAGTAGAGTGAAAACAGAATACGTCCTATCATCTCGGCTAAGCCATTCCTCCCGATTTTATTTCTAGTTCCTTAGCAACAAGAAACACATCCTCCATGGTGGACATTTCTGGAACAATATCTTATCCAAAGGGAGCCCAGAGCTGATGTGGGCTGCAGCTGATCAGGAGCTCTCATGTTAACCAGTGGATCAGTCCTTAGATAAAATGTAGGACAGCAGTGAGACATGCTGACCTGTCCCAGAGCCAGAGGTCACGGTTTTACTGACAGCTACGATCATGTGAAACAGCAAAAAGCACCAAATATTCACCGTCTCCAGCAGCTGCTCGTCATTTTCTTCTTGAAAAATCACTTAAATAATCAGCCTATTGTTAAATCTGAGAGAACGATGCATCAGCTAATCAGGAAACTGAGCAACAAGCATAAATACGACCCAGAATCTCCAGACTGAGATAAACAGAGTTCCTCATGTTGGAATACAGCAAACGTTAGAGACTCAGGAAGTGTTTAAACCAGAATCAAACCTTGTCACCACCAACAGCTGCCTTTTCTTTATGATATTTAGTCATTCTATCTGTCATCTCACACCGATGGACCTTTTCTTTCGTGTTGTTTTACGTCCCGTACTTGTTACTCTGTGGTTGGTTTTTATCTTCCTGCACGAGGCCAACACATGTAAACTAGCTGCTAGCTTAGCTCGATTGATTGTAACTGCGTCCCTGCAAGAACAAACAAGAAGATCAATGAATAAATGTCTGTGCTTGATTATAGAGATGTTTGCTGCTCCCCCGTCTGTAAAAAGCTCGATGCATGGCCCTCAAAAAACCACAAAGATGGAACAGAAATCTATCAATCTATCAATCTATCTATCTATCTATCTATCCATCTATCCATCCATGTATAACAGATAGGTGGCAGAAGTGGATCAGCAATCTCTTCTAAATTCTTCCCCCATAAAATCCCCCAAAACCCGCAGCAGCTGCCTTCCTCTCTGAGCCTCCTCTGATTGCAGGGCCTGACGGCATGCACACACCTGCTCGCTCTGACCTCCAATCCATCTCCTCCACGCCTGCCTGCCACAACTGTCGGGATTAGCATGTCTGGGACGGGGGCTAAACATGAGGCTCTGGGCCTAACATGCGTGTCCCGTCCCTCACTTGTGGCACTGAGAGTGCACAGCTGGCCGATGGTCTGCCTCTGTGCATGCAGCGAGCCTGGAGGTTTGGCTGGAAGTGTGCATCTCACACGGGTTAAAGCCCTCACAGCCCGACACGGGAGGTTTGAATCAATATTTCAAGTGAACTTGTGTTTCAGATAAATCTCCCTCTGCTGTGGAGAAGGCTGCGGCTTCCTGGATTCTATCAACTTGAAAATACACTTCATACCTTTAAACCGGTTTCCTCATTTTAGAAGAAGTGTAAAAAATAAGTTTACTGCACCTTCAGCACCGTGTGCCTTCTGCTGCAGCTGTTTTCTCCTGAAAGGATGACAGAATGAAGAGGAGGACAGAATGAAGCTAAATCTAATGACAACATCACGTTTTACGTTTTTCATTTGGATAAAACCAAAACTTAAACTGGAAATTTCAACCTGACTTTCCTTAAACTGAAGTTGCAGCGATCCTCATTGGAAATGAATCCAACGATTAAAACCAAATGACATTTATTTCACTGGTTTACTGAGTTTAGATGAACTGAATTTGATTGCGTGTTACCAGCTGAAGCCGTTCATTGAAGTCGGTCCGACAGCTCACTTGTTTTATTGCACATATTAAGAGTTAAACTTTGCTCCATCAGAACTGGTTCTGCACATGAAGCCGAGTTTATCTGACAGAAGGAAAACTATCGGGCCTGTGTGAACGTTAGTAGATCATGTTCTGTGGTTGGAGGATCTGAGAACACGCTGACGTTGATGTTTTCATGTAATAACAGACAGAACAGAAATGTATGATCCAAATGACTGAACACTGACCAAAGGTCTCTGATTCTTTATCATCTTCACACTCGGCTCTTGAATCTCTGCGTCACAAGTCCGACCGTCTGGAAGCAAAATTCTAAATGAAAAAATTTCCCCTTTAAACAGAAAAATCTTTCAGAATCAAGTCCAGAGCCAAATCACACACTTGAGCACAGTGTCCTCACACAGTACGGCCTGCTCCCAGTACGCCCTGCTCCCAGTACGGCCTGCTCCCAGTACGGCATGTTCCCAGCAGCCTGCAGACAACTGGGACGAACTGCTGCATCATAACTGTGCACCTTGAACTTCGACGGCCCGCCATGTGCCCTAAGCCCAGCTCAGGCTGGTTTACACCCGCGTGAGACAGTGTGACGTAGCTGTGCAAAGGATTGTGGGTCAGATGGGCAGAAAAGCACGCTGGCTTTTATTCTAGTGCAACATCCTGGTATCCTGGTAACATTATAATGCTCAGGTTCTCTATCCAGACATGTAGAGTGTGGTTCTTATTACCTGACAGTTTCGGTTGTCATCTCTGAAGAAGGCGAGCGTTGTCGCCGAAACTGTCCGGTAATAAGAACCACACTCCACATGTCTGGATAGAGAACCTGAACATTATATTATCACTAAGAAGACATGATGAACGTTTTCGAGCTATCCTGGTAACATTACTGCCATACTGTGTTTACATACTCTGTACTGGGACATACTGGGACGTACTGGGTATAGTTTCTTTGGCAAATGGTAGGATGAGTTCTAGAAAACAACAAAAATCTCTTTTGTCAGATTCAGAGCCTCCTTTAAAACTTTGACTTCAGACGTGTTTTACTAACTTATTCGTTCTCTCTCTGAGCCAGTGACTCTTCTGCTATCAGACGTATAAACACTTTGTTCATTCTGATTCCTGAAACCCTTTTTCACGCCTTTATTGATTAATTAAGAATGATTCTGTCCTATTTACGAGGACCAATGTGCAGAAACAAAGCAGGATCCTGAAACCAAAGCAGCTAAATGGAGCTCATCCGTCATTAACGTCCCTGTTTGCACCCGTCCCCTTCCTGTTGTGGCCTCTGTGAGCCACATATCTACCGAGACCCTTTACTGGTATTTGTGTCGGGTGTGTGTGCGTTGTGTGGTTTCCTAAACGGGGCTCTGGGTTTTGGTTCTGGCTCCACAGCGATCACAGGTGTTCATTCCACCGAGCTTATCTGATGGATTAGCAGCTGCTGCCACCGCGCAGTGGCCGACGCCCACCGCATCTGACGCTACCCACGACCCGGTTCTGATGTGACAGCCACACACACACACAGAGACACACAGACACACACACACACACACACACACACACAGACACAGACACACACAGACACACACACAGACACACAGACACACACACACACACACACACACAGGATGGTAGTGCTGTGTGGAGGGGACGCTGCCATTTGTTCCAACCTCCACAAATGGAGCTCAGCTCTCAGACAAAAGGCTGTAAAATCAGAGCGTGATGTTTGTTTGATTCCTGCTTTTCCATCCAGTTATTATTCACGTCCGTCCCCAGGGAGGCTCGTCTGAAAACATGGGACTGTGGCAGCCCCCCTCTTCCCCGTCTCGCTCACAAACACACTTATTTGGAGTTTTGTTGGTGAAGTCGAGCCGGGCGACGTCTCCCAGCCCTCCAGCTCCTCCCCTCGCCTCCCCCTCAGCCTCCTTCCTCCCAACAGAGAGCGATCCAGCTCGTCTCCTCTCTCCGTCACGCGGGTAATCAGCCTCTGCTATTTCATTTGGCTCAGTAATGAAAGCAATCCCAGCGCTTTTCACTGCAGCGCAGCCCAAATAATGAGGGGCTGCCTCACCCTCCTCAGCCACACCTCACCCCCCAGTCCTCACCCTCCCTCCCTCTGCTGTTAATGGATGAAGGAAAGCAAGTGTGTGTGTTTGAGTATGTGAAGCACGCAGTCTTGCCAAGTCCTTTGTGCCTCCTTTTTCCTCCTCTCTGGGCTGCAAAGGAGGCTTTTGTGTGAAATCTGATCAGCGATTCTCTTCATCAGAGCGTTGTGGAAGTGCTGCCTTTTTCAATCAACAATGTTTTTTTAATCTACATTAGCGGTTCCCAACCTTCCTCACATGTGACCCCGTCGTTTCTGTAGCAGCTCACAGCTTTCACATCTGTACGCCATCACTTATTTTCCATTTCTTCCCTTTTCCAATTGTGTTTCAGTCATTTTAGCTTAAAAAAATAAATGTAGAAACACGCTGCATGTTCCAGTCTGTAACACGTGATCCTATCGTTTTGGTCTTTGTTGTGGCCACGACAGGTTTCACGCCTGTAAAATGCAGTTTAGTATTTATTTCACCTTTTTCAATCTTTTTGAGTAATTTTTAGCTAAAAAAGGTCAAAATAATCAGGTCATTTCTTTACTGTTAATCCATGTGAAGCAGTCGTCTCAGCCTTTGTTTCAGCCGCTCACACGTTAGACGTCTTTAGCAGCTCAACTTCTGTCCTTTATTCAATCATTTTTAAATCATTTTAAGTAACCAAAAGAAAAAATCAACATGATGTTGTGCATCATAATGTCCTTTTTTATTATTTTTAATCCTCCTTCGGGTTGGGAACCGTTATGAAAATATACATGAACGTTAAACACTTTGGCAGCAGGTAAATAGTCCAACCTGCCATATTCCACTTTGGGATTAAAGAAAAGAACGATTTAAATGAGCTTTGTCCCTTCCCATGGTCAGAAATGTGTTGCCGCTTCCCTAAAATCACTTTTCAGCAGCACAATGCGAGCAGACGAGGGAAACCACCCCAGATGGCAAACGTCTAACTCAAAGACAGCTCACTAACCAGCACGGAGTGATTTGGCCAAAAGAAAATCTGCAATCAGACAAATAACATTCAGAAAGTTCGGGGGTTTGTTTGAGTGTTCAGCCTCTTTGCTTCACATGCAGCCTGACGCTCATCTCTGATAATAACAGCAGCGGCGGTTTGCTTCAACAGACCCGGCATTGTCTAAGAAAACGGCGAGCGATGAGAAAGGAAGGTCAGACAGGTGGATACGAGGACCAACACAACACGACGTCTTTGTTGCTCATGATGCACAATCAACAAGGAACACAGGGATGAGTCGAGCAAATCCTCAGCAAACAGCAAAGAACAGAACAGATGGAAACAAACGGTGTGACTTTGTGTAGAAAAGCGTTTGAAAAATAACCGCTGTCGGTAAAAACCTCATATCTTTGAAAATAGCTTCTTTTTTTTTGCAACATGAACATCATTGTTTTCTGTAGCGTGAATTTTCCAGCATTTACAAAAAGGGTCTTCCCAAGCCTGAGGGCGCCAACGGGTTCCTCCATCTTCTACAGTACAATTTAATTTATTGATTCTGGTACAAACATGAAAAATCAGCACAATATCAGGGATTTCCCTCGGCAGCCGGAGCGGCTCGGGGCTGCCGGTGGAGGGGCCATTAGCATTTTGGGCTGGTTTTTTGAGCTCATCATTTTCGATAGCCGATTTTCTCCCTGCTCGTTATCAATCTATTTCCTCTGCGGCAGCAAAACACACTGAGGAGCCTTCAGAGCCTCCTGCAGATCAAACTGGGCTAATCATAAACTGTTAGTCCTGTTTAATTTGGAGAAACTCACGAGCACGAAGCAGCAGCGTTAAAGGTGGAGTATGCAATTCTGATCCAGGACACACGTCAGTAAACATCTGCTCATGGTCAGAACATAAAACCTGGTGCTTCTCACAATTACAGAACGTGATCGACTGTGAAACGGCTTCACTCGTAGAAAACAGTCCATTTAAATAAAACCAATTGTTTTTTATTGGAGTAAATCTGACATTAGAACCCCTCATTTCACTCTTTTCAGTATCATTGTTGGTCAAACATCAGTCTGAGATGCAGAAACTGATCGGAGACCAGAAGCTTCTCTGTGCACAGCCGCCTCGCTAGCATCGACCGTAGCCTGCGTACGAGGCGTTCAGGGACCACTGGTAAATTGCATTGTCTGTCGAGTAGCAGATGTTGAGCAAGTGAGGCTGCTCACGTAAAATTTAATTTATATTTTGCCTAATTGAGCTCATGTAAACAAGAACCTTATTTAAAGTCGTATTTTGTTGCATAAAGTTGAACATTAGCATGAATGTAGCACCACATGGAAGTGAAAGCAGCGCTGGGTTTATTAATTAATATTTATTCATTAATAACTGTAACAATTATTTGTGATCTAAATATTAATTAAAACAATCAGGATTGTCATTTTGGCCACATCTGTGTTCACACACAGAGCTGGTTCTGTAAATGGGAGACAAAGCTGGGATTGATCCACTCAACACTTCAGTCCAAACATCTGACCAGAGGGGATCCGTCTCATGCTATTTCTCATTTGATACAGTGGACCATAACATCTTGATCTCACGTTTAGAACAGTGGGTGGGCATCAGGGGTATAGCACTGGAGTGGTTCAGGTCATACTTGGCAGATAGAACTTTTTGTGTCAGCCTTGGTGACTCTGTGTCCTCCTCTGCTCCCCTCTCATGTGGGGTCCCACAGGGCTCAGTTCTTGGCCCTCTTCTCTT